ACTAATGGTTCAGTTCTGGAGCAGCAGAATTTATGTGTCTAGAATACTATGTGCAGAAAAGTAGCACAAATTCTAAAACACAAGATTCTAAACTAGAACTTGTTTAACACACTAGAAAAAATAGGAAATGTTAGCAATTATCAATCAGAAACCCAGTGTGTTTGTTTATGCACACACTGGATAAGGTAGTCAGCGAGGAGCATTTGTTGAGCACCAACTATGTTGCCAGTTATAGAGTCTCCCATGCTTTCCAGGCAGCACAAACCAGAGGTCTATTTATAAAATACAATCCTAACACATTTTCCCGTGACACGTACACAAAGAACCACCAGCTCAGTGTTTCTTACCTTCCCCAATAAAGTGAGACTTCAAAAACACTGTAAGCACTCATCCATTTCCTCATTTGTCAGTTATTTCTTTGTAGGCCTGCTACGGAAAGTGATGGTGGACCCAGACTTCTAAATTCCAAAACTTACCACAAGCCTACAGTCATGCAAGATCCTCATGCTACTTCCTTGAAGACAAATGTGGGTCAATGCAATATATTTCATAGTTAAAAAATAAATTCACATATTGAAGATCAACTGATATTTATTGTAAACATTTATGTTACTTTATGTGTATGTATATGCCGCACGTGTTCATGCCTGCGAAGGCTGGAAGAGGGGATCAGATTCCCTAGGACTGGAGTTACAGTTGATAGCGACCCACCTGACCTTGGTACTGGGAACCATGCTGGAGTCCTCGCTACTTAGCTGTCTTTTCAGCCTCTCAAATGACTATTAATAGTATGTCAGTTGAGAAAGAATTGGATATCTGCATGCAACAAAATAAGTTAGATTTTCCGTCTCATAATATTCACAAAAATTAAAATCCCAAAGTGTTGTGGGATATTTGTACACTGTGTGAAGTGACTGGTGTGATATTTCTATGATTGGTCTAATAAAGAGCCAAATGGGCAATAACTAGGCAGGAGAGGATAGGCAGGACTTCTAGCGGAGAGGGGTCAGATGGATGAATCTAGGCACGCAGAGTCTCCAATCATACATGGAAGAAGCAGGATGGGCAGTACAGAGATGAGGTCACCGAGTCACGGGGCAGAGTGTAAGTTAGTGTAAATGGGTTAAGTTATGAGAACTAGTTGGGAACAAGTCTAAGCTAAGGCCAAGCATTCATAAGTCTTCATGTCACCGTTTGGTAGCTGATTGGCAGGACAGAGAAAGACTCATTCCACCAAAGACAAGAGCTTAAGACCTTAAAAACTCTTAGAAAAAATGTTTGGCATAGTTCCTCATGGCTGTGAGTCAAATAATAGTTTCCTAGGTGTGACACTAAAAGCATTAACTACAAGAGAAAACTATAGATACACTGGGCCTCACCAAAGTTTGAAGCACTGCAGTTCAGGACACGTAAAGAGATTGCAAGAGTAGCAGAATGAATTTCCTTGCGAGTCATATATCTGATAAGGAACTTGTGTCCAGAATATGTCATATGTAGACGTTATATAAGACAGTAGCAAATATTTGAAACCCGGTCTTTAGAAGGTAATCGCAACATATTTTCCCAAAGGAGATAAATACACAGCCAGTAAAGACTCAAGATGCTCAGTATCACGGGTGTTCAGGAAAGCAAACTGGAGCCCCAATAAGATATGCTTCATACCCACCAAGATGGCTACAAAAACCAGGCTCTGGGTGTGGTGGTGAAGGCAGATAAATAAATAAAGCTCTTGAGAAACAGAGGATCTTGAAGGAGAGGCTAATCTGATTTAGAGTGGGAGATGAAGGGGCACAATAGGAAGCACTGGCAGCTATATGGATGGTTGTGTATGTATGTGTGTGTGTGGGGGGGGGTGTTCAAACATACAGTGCCTGCCTGTAACAGTCAAGACTTCAGCTCTAGAATCCAACACTGGACAAAAAGATAACAGAACTAGGACAGGTGCATTGCTTTTGAGATAAAATTTTGAAGATATTTTGGAAAGCAGTTTGACAGTCCCACAAAAGATAACTATATTAATAAATTTTCTACTATTACAACCAAATACCTAAGTTCTGGCACTGTGTGTGTTTGTGTGTGTGTGTGTGTGTGTGTGTGTGTGTGTGTGTGTGTGTGTGTGTGGTTTACCTGTGGTGTGATGGCCATCGGGCTGCATCTCAGAGATGAATGGGAAGCTCACTGGCATGACCTTCCTGCATTCCCACCCTCAGTGTGTCTGTAGTGGATCTGCCATGCCACCTGGAGAAAGCTGCCAATTAGGATGACCTCAGAAGGTAGTGTAGCAGGCATCAAAGGGTGTGCTAACAGGCATCCTAGGCTCCTCTAAGGACTAGCTTGTCTCCTACGACTTTAATAGCGACACCCACTTTTCCACCTTTGATGCTGGGGCCAGCATTGCTCTCAATGACAACTTTACAAAGCTCATTTCCTGGTAGAAGTATGAATATGGCTACAATAACAGGATGGTGGACCTCATGACCTACACTGCCTCCAAGGAATAAGAAGCCCTGGACCACCCACCCCAAAAAGAACACGAAAGGAAGAGGGAGGTTCTCTACTGCTGACCCTGTCCCAACCTAGCCCCCCAACACTGAGCATGTCTCCTCACAGTTCCATCACAGACCCCCAGAAGAAGGGAGGGCACCCAGGGATCCCTGCTCTCTTGAACACCATCAATAAAGTTACTGCACACACACACACACACACACACAGAGAGAGAGAGAGAGAGAGAGAGAGAGAGAGAGAGAGAGAGAGAGAGAGAGAGAGAGACCATTTATTTGAGTGTAGAGGGTCAAGGGCACAGCACCAGCATCTGAACAGCTATGATGAAGGCTTTCCTATGACAGACGGTGTCACAATGGCAGCTGTACATACAGGAGGAAGTCATTCTATGGCAGCAGAAGAAGTCAGGTTAAGATGATGAGGGTGGCAGTAATCAGCCACCAGTAATTCTCAATGGGCCCACCCCTCTCGACGTCATCACGCTGAAGTTCAATCTCATAGCACATGAAGCCTAGAGAGGTTGTGGTGCATACAAGCAGCTGACATGACATTCAGGAAGCAAGAGACGATGCTGTATTTAATTTTTAAAAAAATTCCATCAGAGCCCAACCAGTAGGATGGTGCCACTTAGACGCAGAGCAGTCTTTTCCCCTAAGTTAATTCTCTCAAGGAACAATCCCTCCAGATATGCCCAGAGTTGGGTTTTACTAAATTTGTTAGGAGATGCTCAATTCAATCAAGCTGTTGATCAATATTAGCTAAGACATCCCATCTAATCAATCTGTAATTGGTTTGGGATTTTGTAAGAAAAACCACAGAGAAAGGATTGACCCTGTGTGCGTGGGCTTGGAAGAATGACTGGAAGCTGATGGCAAATAGCTGGAGTTGCTGTCTACTGATTAGCAAGCTTGAAATCTGCTCAGAGGTGGCGTTTGTCATCTTATGAATTCAACTGAGAGCTGAGAGCAGTCAGGACTGTCAGTCACAGGAGGTTTAAATGACGTAGTTTGGACATTTGTCTCCATGCTCAGCTTTGAGTCACTTGGGCCTGAATGGGAGGAGCCCTGCACTCAAGTTCCCTGAATTCTGTTCCTTTATATTAAAAAAGGAAGGGTTGAGAAGCATTTTGATCTGTGCCCTTCTGCCTACCTCTAACTAACTTCACCCATATGATGGTCAGGTCTCTTGCAATAACCAGGCCTGATAGATTTAGAAGGCAAAACACACAGCGTTGTTTATAAGAGCTTAACAGAGAAGAATAGGTGAGTGAGGGAGACATGTGCAGGCTTGCACGCATACTCATGTGCGCGTATAAACACACACAAACAAGTTGAGTAACAAACAGAATCAGCGGTTGCCACGGGTGATTTTAACACAACTCAATTGTCCGTATGACATTACTAAGAACTATCCATTCTCTATAATCCTTTCCTAGTCTCAAATTATCTATAAATGAGTGGATTTGAAAGTATTTTTTACCCCTAAAGGCCTTTGGGGGAATCTCCAGTGGAAGCAAAGATATAGCCCTTCTCTGTGCTCCTCCTGTAAGGGTGCAAAGACAGAAACATGCTCCATGGCCTGGAGGTAGATGCTGAAAATGCCTACCTATTATACAGATATTCTAAGCCTCTAGAAAAGGGGAGGGGGCTGGAGAGATGGCTCAGCAGTTTAAGAGTATTGGCTGTTCTTCCAGTGGGCCTGGGTTCAATTCCCAGCACCCAATGACAGTTCACAACTGTCTGTAATTCTAGCTCCAGGGGATCCAACACCCTCACACAGAGTATATACAGGCAAAACACCAGTGTACCCTAAATAAATAAATAATAAACAAATCTTTAAAAAAAAGAAAAGAAAAAGGGAGGAAGAGAACTCATCTTCTGTTATTTCAAACTTGCTCTTAATTTCTGAAAACAGGAATTGAAAGCAACCTAGATATGTAAAAAGGCTCTAAAGTGAAGGGGGTTGTGGATTGGTGGTAGAGTTCATGTCAGAATGCATGAGGCTCTGGCTTCCATGCCTGATTCCTGAACAAGTGCACTTCCATTACATAACATCCTCTCTACCTCCCATCTCCTCATCTCCCACCCCAGTGGGAACTAGTATGTATTTCATGTATATATGAATATCATACATATTTCATGTATATATATATATATGTATGTATCATACACATTGTGCTCATAGAATTTTTCTGCTTTTCATCATAGGCTCACATTGCATATTTTCTTTACAATAGGTTCATTGTGTTGGATACTTTTTATGTCACAAGACACAACTCTTTTTTTAATTCATTTATTTTTTATTGAAAATTTCCACCTCCTCCCTTCTCCCACTTTCCCTTCCTCCTCCCCCTCCCTCTCCAGTCCAAGGAACAGTCAGGGTTCTCTACCCTATGGGAAGTCCATGTCCTCCCTGCTCCCCCCAGGTCCAGGAAGGTGAGCATCCAAACAGACTAGGCTCCCACAAAGCCTGTCCATGCAGTAGAATCAAAAGTCCTTGGTTCTCAGTCAGCCTCCACCGTCAGCCACATTCAGAGTCTGGTTTGATCACGTGTTCCATCAGTTACAGTCCAACTGGCCTTGGTGATTTCCCATTAGATCAGTCCCGCCATCTCAGTGGGTGGACGCACTTCTCGTGGTCCTGACTTCCTTGCTCATGTTCTCCCTCCTTCCGCTCTTCATATGGACCTTGGGAGCTCAGTCCAGTGCTCCAATGAGAGTCTCTGTCTCTATCTCCATCCATCGCCAGATGAAGGTTCTATGATGATATGCAAGATATTCATCAGTGTGGCTATAGGATAAGGCCAGTTCAGGCACCCTCTCCTCTGCTGCCCAAGGAACAAGCTGGCGACATCTCCTTGGACACCTGGGAACCCTCCAGTGTCAAATCTCTTGCCAACCCTAAAATGGCTCCCTTAATTAAGATATATACTTCCCTGCTCCCTCATCCACCCCTCCTCCATCTGATGATGGAGGGTGGGACCCCTAAGTAAGCTCAGGGTGGGAATCTCTCCGCAAACAGGGCTTTCTGAGCCACACATGGACTTTTGGGAAGACCCAGGTGGAACGAATTGTGTCTGACTAAAACTCTTGGCAGAAGCTTTGCTGAGCACCTGTGCTGCCTCTGGACACGGGCACTGGGAAGCGGAGGTTCGTACAGGAGACACTGGAATGCGCACTCACCCCCATCCTCTCCTGCTGCTTCTCATTGTGTAACTGCCCAACTCTGACCTTTAAACAAACTGAGGAAGCTTACAGAAGCATTGCCCTGAGTTCTGTCAGATACTCTAGCAAATTAATCAGACCCCAGCTGGGGTCAGAGAGACTCCAGGCTGGGTGACACAATCTATTGAAACAGCCCAACCTGCTAAGGGACCCAGTGTTCAAAGACACGGGCCTGTGACAGACATTTCATTTTAAACCATGGTTGAGAAACTGACATGTGCATTGTGCATGCACACAGACACACACACATGTACATATCATACACATGTACATATCACACACATGTACATACTAGACACACCTTTTGGCAATGATGAGAACATACTCTATGATTTTCTGTCATTTATTTTTAACTTACATGCCTAAACTGTATACTAAGCTATACTTCTACAATATCTTGATTGCATTTCAACAAATCAGCTATTCTTGAATCTTTTAGAAAAATTGTAATGTGCTTGCATAAAGGCATGGTGCTTGTACCAGACAGTCTCTGCAGCAGCTCTCGCTCTGCCTTGCCTTACTCAATAAATGCTTGAGAATAAAAAGACACCTAACAGACACACTTTGAAATGACAATGACATTGGATCTTCTAACACTACCCGACAATGGCAGTTTTATTACAAGTTCTTCACCATGTCTCAAAGTTCTTCCATTTTAATTGTTATATTGAGACAGCCAACTCATTCAGTACCTTGCCATAAGGTAATATGAACTGCACCTACAGCTGTGTCTTGAGTTTTGAGAACCCCCTTCTCCATCTTCTATTATCTACCCCTAACCTCAGCTGAGAGAGTTATATATATGTAAATATGGGATGGTTGTTCCCACTTTCATTCTGTGGCCCACAACCCCCCCACACACACTCACATGTATGCACGCACACAACTGAGTCATTTAATATAGTAGCACCACCTTCTGTACACAAGATTAGCCCTGCTTTCTGTTTGCCTTCTAAATGTTGGTTATGTCTTCAGACTCATTTCATGGGCACCATTGATGTAACTTGGAATCTGGAAACTGGTGTATTGAGCCTAAGTCTTTCTCTGACTAATCACGGTTTTACAGCATTGGCCAACTCTTTTTTGTCCTATCATTGGAGAACAATGAAGTAGTTCATTTTCTTTTTTCATGCATGTATGGCAGGCTGGAGATTGAACCCTTGGCCTACACATGATAAACATGTGCTCTATCTCTACACTATAACATCCCCAACCTCAGCAATGTTTGAATTTTAAATAAATTTTACTGATTAAGGTGCTATAAATATGTCCATTGGGTTTTCTTTTCCACTCTTTTTTTGTGTTGTGCAATATGCATGCATGTATACATGCACATTTCCATGTATGTGAATACTCATGTGTGTACTCATACGTGCACATGGAGTTCTAAAGTAGACACTGGCTATCTTCCTCAATCACTCTCCACTTTATTTACTGAAGTGAGGCATCTCAGGGAACCCAACGCTTGTCAGTTCCACCTCCTCTAGATAATCAGCCTGTGCCTGTCTCTGCCTCCTGAGTGCTGGGACTCCAGGCATCTGCCATACCTGCCAGGCTTTTCAGTGGGTACTAGCATCCTGAACTCTATTCTCAAGCTTGTATGGTAAGTGCGCTATCCACAGAGCCATCTCCCAAGCATGAGTACATTTTTAGAGTATATTGAGATATTGTTCTTAATAATTATTTTAGATGTGGTGTGACTTTAGGGAACCCCAAACAAAGCAGGATGTATGGTCACCAATAATGGATTTGGAAGACACAGAGCTAACTTCTGTCTTCTTATCATACCATGAATGTTTATGATCTGTGGCATTTGGCATGTGAGTGTTGCAACTTGGTAACGTAAGCTAGAATTAGTTCCTTGGGATTCTCCTCCCAATCTCAAAACTAATTAACTTTGAGAAAATGATTACGTTTCCCTGACCCCTAATTATGCCATCTATAAAATGACAACTTAATGATCTCTTTAAACTTTAAAATTATATGATTTTACGCTGTAGGACATGATAAGAAGAAAGCTTACAGTATAAATGGGCTTGTGCGATACCTAGGTACTGCCCATGTCTAATTTCTTAGAATGCTTCATTCTGGACACTGGAATGAGACAGAACCTCTGGACTGGGCTCAAGCAGGGAATAGCCATGTGGAGAAAAGCATTGAAGGCTTCAAGATAGTTCTCTTCTGCCTATAGGGCCTTACTTTAGAGAAAAAAGAATACATGATAAGAGACACCCTGCAACGGGCAAGAATTTTGGGGAGAACAACAGGAAAACACCACCTCCAGAGATCAGAGAATTTGGAACCAAAGGAAAATGTGCCAAAAGATCAAGCGACAGACCAGCACACGCAGTTTGTAGAAGGCGTTTGTCATGTATGTCACTGCCCAGCATCTTTGGTTTCTTATGTGTGTGGGGACTATGTGTGCCTGTCTTTGGGTGCAGGCTTATGTGAATGGATGTCTGTATATGTGTCCATGTACATGTGAACATACTTGGTTGATGTCAGAGATCTTCCTCAATCATTCTCCACTTTTTCACTGAGGCAGGACCTTGCAATTGGATACAGAATTCTTTTTTGTTGTTGTTGTTGTTTTTTGTTGTTGTTGTTGTTGTTTTTGTTTTGTTTTTTGAGACAGGGTTTCTCTGTGGCTTTGGAGCCTGTCCTGGAACTAGCTCTGTAGACCAAGCTAGTCTCGAACTCACAGAGATCCTCTTGCCTCTGCCTGCCTCTGCCTGCCTCTTGCCTGCCTCCGATCTCTGGGATTGAAGGCATGCGCCACCATCGCCTGGCTGGATCCAGAATTCTAATTCAGCTAGTCTAGCTAGTGGGGTCCTATCTCCTCTGCAGATCAGTGGATTATAAACAGGCTGTCTTTCCCACCTGCATTTATGTGGTTCCTGAATGTCTAAAATCCATTCCTCAACACTAGTGCTAGAAGTGCTTTGCCTACTGAGCTATCTCCCCTTCATTCTGGTGTCTTTTAAAATACCCATTTCTCCCTTTACAAGCCCTTCCTCAGCCACATAAAAGGGACATATGCACAATAGCATCCACTTTGGGGGACCTATGCACAATAGCAATAACACAAGAGCAGCTTTATTTTAGAAGCAGTCGTTGCCACAGTGAGAGATTCCTAAAGCTTGATTCAGACTTTTCCCTAGACATTCTCTGAATGTTCTCAGGCCATTGAATACACTTAAAACAACTTACAGTGGACACTGTTGTTTGCAACTAACAACTCCAACAGGTACTACATAATGTGTTCCATTAATAACATTTTGTCAAGGAGATAAAAGGATAATTTGTACTAAAGACTTGAAACTCTTTGAAACTATATTCTATTCTGGACATTAAACAGGCTGTCTGGAAAAAGAAGGAAGGCTGGCTGTTGAAAAGTAGATACAAACAGAAGTAAAATAGTAAAGGGGAGCCCCTGCAGAACCTCAGAACACCAGACCACATGCATGTGTTTGACCTGAAAAAGCAAAAATGACTTAGTATGGAGGTCCTCTTAATGATAGCACATGGAGCTTGATAGGGATACTTTCGGGCCAAAGTTAATTCACCTCAGAGGCCTCAATATTATTTGTCTTAAAATACTAGCTCCTTATTACAAGTTCATTAGAATCCCAGAAGTATAGAACCAGAAAACAGGTCAAAAGAAGAAAAGACCTCTTCTGACTATAGGGAAAGTTCGGAAGAAAGACAGGCGAGGGAGCAAAGAACATTTAGAATCAGGTCTAATATAACCAGCTACATCATAGGACTGGAATCTGTGTGTAAAACTATTGCAGCAAACTGATCATGAGGCTGCCTTAATAAATAAGAGGCCAGGACATGATCATTTCAACTCTGTGACCCACACTTATGCTGTCACTAGAAAACGCGGGTTAGTCATGTCACAGTCTAGTTGAGTGATCTTAGGTCAGTCCTACCCACACGGCAGCCAACACTGTCTGGGCATAAAGAACACGGTAGGGAATAGAGGAGAAATTAAAGTTGAGCAGTTAGTCACTTCTGAACTAGTTTGTCATCTTTATTGATTTCACAAATGTTACCGTCTTGGGTATCTGGGACTTGAAAATGTGTGGGAAAGACCATGGAAATCATGTAATAGGTGCATTCGTAGCAGGGCACCTGCAGCTGCTGCTCATAACACGGCACGGTAGGAACCACGGGTAGCAAAGTCTTGCAGACTAAAAAGAAATCCTGTTTCTCATTCACAAAACAAAGTGGAGCAAGTTGAAGGGGATGATCATCTGGGAAACTACTTCTGCTCTCACTTGTAGAGAAACCACTCCTAAAAGTCTTCAGTCTTATCCACAGCTGACTGGGAGATCTCACTGCTTACCGTGACAGCTCAGCCATCAGAACTGAGCTGAATCCACACCTTCAGTTTCCTTAGGACATCTTATCTGAAGACTAGCAATGATTCACCTAAGAAAATGTTCTACAGATTAAGTGGAGGAAAATTTGGAAAGGAAATGGATGGCAAGTTTACCAAAACACCTACCAAAGATCAATAGTATATTA